TTTTGGATGTAATTGTCATGGTTGGGCATATTCTTTTGGTATGATGTTGTAAATATTAGATATGATGAATGAATTTTTTATTTATTGATGGATTATATTAGTTGCACTCATGATGTGAATGATTTTAAATTGTAATGTCATCTAAGGTGATTTTTGGGGCGTTACAAAAACTGTCGTTTTAATCCCAACGCACACAAATTTTCTTTCATTACCAAAACACATTTAAGCAATGATATAAAATCATCCCACAAGTTTAACAAAATTCACATGTATAATAATTCACAATTGCAAAACATTTAATTGTAACCTCAAACATCAACATATATATCATACATATGAAATATACACACACACATACACACACGTTTAATATAGAAAATTCTTCTTAAAGAAGTAGTAAACTACTTACCGTGATTCCCAAAATCCAATTCAAAGCCCTATTTCCCAACCTCAATGTAATCACCACCTAATTCAAAAGAACATATATGATTAATCCATATTCCAAGTTTCGTCATTTTGCGATTCTATATTTAATTTTTTGTACTTCTAACCCATTGATATATACTTTATATATCCTTTACATAGAAATAACATTTTTAATGTGAGCTAATAGGTATGGAAATAACCTAGGTAGTTTAGAAATTTTTTTTAAAGTTTTTGGGTCAAATCATAAGTTTTGAAACATTTGGGGTCAAAGTATAATTTCTCAAAAATTAATTCATCTATTTTTGAGACTGCTATAAAATTCTCAGAATAATATTTAAGACTATAGAGACCAATTTTTGATAATATAACCTTGTTTTGAGCTATTATGAGTAAACCATAATTTTGATAACAAAATCAAAGCTTATTGGGGTCATTTTAGAATTTTGAATACCTTTCAAGGCTTGAGGGCTGTTTTGAAATGATAAATCTTGTTTCAAGACTATTGGGTCATCTATGCAATTTACCAGGTGAAAAAGTGATCAAAATTGAGTTTAAAAAAATATAGGGGGTCACAATTACATCTCTTGTAACTAATGGATAGTTTCTGTAATTTTACACTTTTCTCCATCTTCTTCGTACGAGAATTCTAACACCAGGAACTTCATGTCCCTTTTTGTTTTTTGTTTTGTTATTCTTTGTTCTTAGCATATTGATCAAACTTCTACAAACCTAAATTTTGGCTAACTACTTCAAAATTAAAATCTATAATGAAACCCATTTATCTATTAGAAATGTCCAAACACATACTTGTATTGGGTATTATAACTCTCCCCCCTTCAAGAATTTTGGTCCTCCAAACTTGGTGCATCCAGAGGTTGGAACAATTGTAGGTACTTTCCTTTCATCTCATGTTCACTCTCGCAGGTGGCTTCTCTCTCCGAGTGGACCTTCCACAGAATTTTAACAAATGGAAAAACCCTATTTCTCAACAACCTTTCTTCTTGATCCAAGATCTCCACTGGTAACTCCTCATAAGACTAACCCATTTGCATTTGTAGAGGCTTAACCTCAATTACATGTGATGGATCTGGCATGTACTTTCTAAATATCAATACATGAAACACATTGTGGATATCGACCAACTCTAGTGGTAAAGCTAGCCTATAAGCCACTGCACCAACTCTTCCTAGAATCTCAAAGGGTCCAATATACCTTGGACTCAACTTTCCCTTTTTACCAAATCTTATAATCCTCTTCCAAAGTGACACCTTTAGGATTACATGATCACCCTCCTGAAATTCTAAGTCTCCTCTAGTTGTCCGCATAACATTTCTATCTATTCTGAGCAACTCTAAGTCTTTCTTGAATCAACTGTACTTTATCTATAGTCTTTTGTACTATCTTTGGACCATATATTTTTCTTTCTCTAACTTCAGCCCAACAAATTGGAGACCTACACTTTCACCCATATAAAGCCTCATACAGTGTCATGCCAATGCTAGCCTGCAAGTTGTTATTGTAAGCAAACTCAACCAGTGGTAAATGCTCTTCCCAAGAACCCTTCAAGTCAGGCACACAAGTATGAAACATGTATTCCAATATCTGAATAACTCTTGTTGACTGTCCATCTATCTGTGGGTGGTAAGTTGTACAAAATTTCGACTCGGTGCCCATAGCCTTTTGTAAAATACCCCAAAACCTTGAGACAAATCGAGGATCTCTTTATTTGAAACAATCGACAATGGGGCCCCATGTAATTTCACAATCTCCTTTACATAAATTTTAACAAATTTCTCTAAGGGATAAGTAGTCCTCACAAGTGAAAAGTGTATGGACTTTTTCAATCTATCCACCACAACCCAAATAGATTCAAGTCCACTCGTGGTCGTGGGTAACCCACACACGAAATTCATGGTAATGCACTCCCATTTTCACTTAGAGATAGGAAGTGGTTGCAATAATCCTCTTAGCCTTTGGTGTTCTGCTTTCACCTTTTCACATGTCAAACACTTAGACACATAGTTCGCCACTTCCCTATTCATATTATTCCATAAAAATATCTCTTTCAGTTCTTGATACATCTTTGCACTTCTCGAATGAACTGTGAAATGAGAGTAATGGGCCTCCTCCATCACTTGTTTCTTGATCTCGGGGTCATTAGGTATGCATACTCGATCTCCAAATCTCAACACTCCATCTACCACACGAAAATCAGTATTCTCACCTCGCTCCGTTTCTTCTAGAATCTTCACCAAATTCGGGTCATTTAGTTGTGCCTCTTTTATTCGATTTAGCAAGGTAGGCTGAACTTGCAAGCTTGCTACAAAAGCATTAGTACCGGGTATCTTCACCTCAACCTTTGCTTCTTCAAGGTCCCTCACAAGTTGTTTTTGCTGAGTAATCAAATAAGTCATGCTTCTTGTAGATTTTATACTTAGTGCATCTGTCACCACATTTGCTTTCCCTGGATGATAGTGCAAATTTACATTATAGTTTTTGATTAGCTCTAGCCACCTTCGTTATCTCATGTTTAACTCTTTTTGTGTGAATAAATGCTTGAGACTCTTATGATCTATATATATCTCACATGTCTCCCCATACAAATTGTGTCTCCATATCTTCAGTACAAAGAAAACAACTACCAATTCTAAATTATGTGTTGGATAATTCTACTCATAAGGCTTCAACTGCCTAGAAGCATAAGCCACAACCTTCCCATGTTGCATCGATACACAACCTAAGCCTTTCCCTGAAACATCATAGTAGATATCATACCCACCAGTATCTACATGCAAAGTCTCATACTTCCATCGTTCTTTTTCATGAATAGTACTGGTGCACCCCATGGTGACATACTAGGCCAAATAAACCCCAAATCTATCAACTCTTGAAGTTGCACCTTCAGCTCTCTGAGCTCCACTGGTGCCATACGATAAGGAGCCTTAGAGGTAGCACCTGTGCCAAGTACTCGGTCAATAACAAACTCAATATCACTATTAGGTGGTAACCTATGAAGGACATCTGGGAATACTTCTAGAAATTCCCTTACTATTGGAGACAACCCCCTTATTCCTTGTATCTTTAATGTTAGCAATGTATCCCCGAACAACCTTTTCTCAACAATCTTTGAGCTTGCACTACAAAGAAATTGTTGTGGAAAGAAATAATCTATGTCCCCTCAAAACTAATTTTTGTGTGATTAGGAGGATGAACCATGACTCTCTTTTCAAAATAATCAACTGTCACATGGTGCGCAACTAACCAGTCCATACCTAATATCACGTCAAAACCGTTAAGGTCTAAGAGTATTAAATCAACTAGTAATTGATTCTCCGCAATGTGGATTCTACACCCCAGGTACATGACCTCTCTTAACTTTGAACCACCCGTAGGAGTTGTCATAATCAAATCAAACTCAAGTACTTTGGGTTCAACACCTAATCTTATTGCTACTCTAAGAGATACAAAAGAATGTATAGACCCCTGGTTAATAAGTACTTTAAATGCATGCTCACAAATAAGTAAAGTACCTAAAACCACGGAATTAGAAGATTGTGGGTTCTTTGGTGTCATTGCATAGACCCTCCCAAACCTCTATTCCTTCTGCTGCCCTTGTTTCTATTGACCCTGATTTGATACACTATCTGTCTTAGCTAGAGGCTTGCCTATTGATCCCTGCACTGACTGGGAGCAAAACTTTGCAATGTGTCCTCATTGGTTGCACTTGAAATATGTTACCTCCGTCTGTCCACTAGCTTGTTTGTTTCCTTGAGCACTCTAACAATTCTTTGTTGTGTGTCTTGACTTGCCACAATTGAAGCAAATAAGTTGTTCTTAATTGGTCCCATAACACGGCTAGTCCCCATAGAATCTCCCACACTTCTGACACTTTGTCCTGTGTCCTGTTGCCCTGTAAACCTTAGATTTTGACATCTCAGATAGAGTTGAGGCACAATTTTGTATTGTGTATACTAGCTTCATCAATGCTGGAACAAGCGATTTAACCTTTGTCAGCTCTTGCACTTCCTTAACCAACCACTAAACAACATTTTCCTCTTAATTATGATTTTGACGTCTCAGATAGGGTTGAGGACCAATTTTGTGACACAATTACTGGTTTGAATTTGTTGGCGCTGGAGCAATTGCACTTCCTGAACAAGCGCTTGAAGATGTCATCCTAGTTTTGGTTGTCAATAATAGTGGTTGACAATAACAGGTGTTTGTTAAGAAACTACATAACTTGGGAGGGATTGAAATTTCAAATAATAGGGAGGGTGTCCTTGAAGATAGAGCAATCTAGAAGGAGCCCGGATAAAATTAAAGCTTAAAGAAGTAATTTAAACTTTTAGGAGATGCTTAGGCCTAATTTTGATATTTGTTCGAGGAATGATTCTATAAATTTTATACCTTGTAACCTAAGGGTCAAAAGTGTCATACTCATCACACTGTCGTTTGCATACTTGGATCCAGTACGCCAGGCCCGAACCAAAAGCCCGACCCAAAACTCAGTTCTCTGTCCTCTTCCTTCTACCGCCTTTTTCTTGCACTCTCTCCCATACTATAGGCGGGGTTTCATTTTCATCACTCCCACTTCACACTTCACCCCCAATTCTTCACAAACCCATTCAATTCGATTCCTCTTCAACATTTTCCTCTAGGGTTTCAAACTCCCAATTCTCTGGTGTTCATTCAGTAACTGAACGCATGAAATGAAGCGGGTGTTCGACGAAATCTCCGACGAGGAATGGTCAAATCATTCGTTCAAATCCTCTAAAGTTTTTCAACCGCCACCCCCTATCGAATCATTTGTTTACAACAAGTCATCAGCTAAACCCTCGAAGTCAAACTCCAATTCCTCAGATGATTCCATTGAAATTCTTGAAGCCAATTGGACGGAAAAGTTGGAGGACAGTGATGCTGAAGATAATTTAAGGGGAATTCGGCCACAAGCGAATCGTGGGCGTCGATTTGTGATTGAGGATGATGAGGAGGAAAGCGACGGTTGTGATTTTGAGCGAGTGATTGAAGTGAAATCTGAAGAAGAGGAGGAGGAAGTTGTGGAGGAGGTGGAGGAGGAGGGGGATGTGGTTGGAAAGGCCTTGCAGAAGTGCGCCAAGATATCGGAAGAGCTGAGGAAAGAGCTGTATGGTTCGGCAGTGGCGGCTTGTGATCGGTACGCTGAAGTCGAAGCTTCTTCAGTTAAAATTGTTACTCAGGTGAATTTAAGTTGTTGTAGTGTCTTCTACTTTTACCTGTCTGAGTGCTGAATGAACTACGAGGTCCTTACCATGTTTAGTTTACAACATGAGAAGGACTGATTGTAGACCTTTGTATCATACTTACAAAGTGGTAGTCAATAGTGTCTAACCCATAACTTGTGGTTGTTAACCCAAGAAAGTGGTAGTTCACCGAGCCGAATCCACTACTTGGGGGATCTCAGCCCGAGCATATTACAGCCAGGGCGGAACCAGAATATTTTTCCAGTGGGGGCAACTTATTACTTATTCATAAGTTAAAATCATAATGAAACCAATCAATTGAAATGTAATTTATTATAGTCAAATTTCACATATTATAATCTAATTTTAGAGAAAATAAAAATTAAGAATCCAATTATCGCAGAAAATTTGAAAGAAGAGTTAAATGAAAATCATAAAAAATGTAATGATTTTGCAAATGAATTTTGAGTGATAATAATTGGTAGCTTGATGTTTAAGATAAAATAGAATTGGAGATAAAAGAGAAACTGAAGAGATAGTGACAATATTGAATCATATGAAAGAAGCTTAACTCTAAATTTTAATTCATGAAAGAATCCTTTTTTTTACTAAAATATAAGGAATAGAGTTATTGGGGTATAAAAATCTATCCTAAATTCTTGACCTAAGGACGTGAAAATGGAGTTAGAACTCTTGGATTTATCCTTTGAGAGCACATCACTTATCATATAATTAGGTCAATAAAGTAGTTTAGATTTTTAGACCCAAAAGTATTATTGAAATATAGAAGTAGGGATACATTTATACAAATTTTATGTGGAGGAAAATTTTAAAAAATTATAAATTTATAAAAATTTTAAAACTACCAAAAAAAAATTACAAAATTGCACTGGGGGCACTTGCCCTCACTGCCCTAGTGTAAATGCGCCCCTGACGATAGCTGCACCAAGCAATGACTACTTACTGAAAGAACTACTGAAAAGACTAAACGTTGGAATCCAGGGAGAATTTTGCGTCCGTAATGGACTTGCATTGAGTTCTACTCTATTTGCTCACTGTTAATGAGTGATGACAAATTAATTTGGAATTAGGGGTAATTAAGGAAACCAAACTGAGAATGTGGTCATTGGAGATCAAACTTTGTCACTGACATGTTCTATTAGAGAATTTTTCCTCGCAAAAAGAACACCACACAAACTCACACATAGGGATAAGGACCTTGAGTAGAATGTACCTAAAATTACCACACAGGTAAACATTGGTTTCTTTTGTTTGTCTGCATTTGATTGCAACTATTCTAACAATTAGTTATGCATGTTTTCATTCTATAATTTTGCATTTCATTTACAGTCATGGGATTCATATAATTTTGGTTTCTTCTGTTTGGTGACATTTTATTTTTATTGTTTATGAATTGGTTTTTGTTTTCTGTGTTTGCTTTCTGGGTTTAGTTTGGAATTTCTGGACTTTTGATATCCTTTATTTGCCTATGGACAGGACATGTAATGATAGTTTTAGTTTTGGTCCTTCTGGGTTTAGTTGTTTATGGCATTTGGCTTTGTTGTTTCAGGAGGATGTTTGTGTGGCATGTGGGGCAGAGGATTCAGGATTTCAGCCTGTTCTTAAACCATATCAACTTGTTGGTGTCAACTTTTTGCTTCTTTTGTATAGAAAGAAAATTGGGGGAGGTACTTGAAGTGCGCACAACTATTTATGTTGCATATGCATATCTTATCTTTATTTTAATGTAAAAGCATTTAGGGTTAATACCAAGTGACTTCCCTTTCTATTGGTATAATAACAAGGACATCCTTTGAATTGTTTAGAAAATACATTGACACTCCTTGTCAATGTTGGTTGGCTAATGGGGATGATATATGTTTTTCCATTCTCAACCTCATTCTTCCATTATACTTTCATCCATTTAGCCACTCATTTCATCTCTCTAACCCAAAATCCATCACCACCACCACAATCACAGCCACCATAATCACACCCAAAATCCATGACTATGACAACAACCACTCCTTCACCTTCAAACATCACTTAAATCTTCCCCAACATCTATTGTGTTTCATAGATAGATTAAATAAGCAATCACTAATGTACAAAATGTTTAATGAAATATTAGGTCTGATTAGCCCATAATTTGGGTATAACTAATTGCAATCTAACACCCTCATCTCTTTTCCTACTTCCTAGCTAAATCTTCTTTTATATGAAGCTTTGTGCTGTGTGACTGATTCGTGCTATTACTCCCTAATCACTCAATATTGATTCCTTTTATTTGATTGCACCACATAGCGATTCGGTCAATCGATATTTTGAATTCACGACTCCAATGAAGCCCACCAATAGCCATTGAACTTCACTACAAATTCACCCCTTCATCCTTGGAAACAGAATATGTTGCAAGAAGAATTTTTTTACATGTCTTGTATTGGAATTGCCACCGCCTCAATTGATGGGTTTCCACCACTTTCTAGTGTGATTCGACACTTAAATGTTGACTATACAACATGATAAACTAACAAATAAGGAAATCACCAAGGATTTACCACAATGCAAACAAACCAACTTTGCTCTTAGGTTGATTAACAAAGGGAACTAGCCAAAGTAGGGTTCAAAGCATAAGTCGGGTCCAAGTCAACTCGGCCGAGTCATATCTGCCTCGGCCTCTATTGAACCGATAACGATACACGTTACACCAAATCAACAAGTCTCACTGGAATTGGCCTTGAATTGGAGTCGACTCGATAAAATCGGTGCAACTTGGTTGACTTGGACCAACTCCCCGCCGAATCGGACAATTCATGATAGTTACACATGGGCTAATAAAATACAACAAACATGAAACATGAATACATCTGTAACATGTAGAAAAAAGAGGAGATGGAGAAGAAAGAAATCGAGAGTCGATACCCACATGAAACATGAATACATCTGTAAGAAACCCACATGCAAAACTGAATTGAAGAAATTTTTAGTCTCCCACACAATATCCATATGCAAAGCTGAACCAAACGAGTCTTGATCTCCTTCTTCCTCTTTTTGTTCTTTTTTTTTTCCTCTTCTTCAATTCTTTGTCTAGTCTGCACAATGTCTTGACAATCGAATGCTCATTAGTGTCTTAGAATTCGACTTTCGGTATCAAATCGCAAATAGACTTTCCTTACGAGAAATCTGTCACTTCTCTCTCTCTCTCTCTAATTTCTAATTCTTTTACAGGATGTGTGAAATGCGGTAATGTGAAGGTTTTTCGTTAAATGATATTAGTAATTTCAGTAAATAGTATTAATTGTTTTTTATTTTTTATTTGTCTCTCAGGTCTGGTGTGTTAGGCATTTTTTTAAATGTTATTAATTGTAGTATTAAGTAGTATTTTATTTTTATTTTCCTATTAATTGACTTTTAAATTGATATTTGCATTAAATTGGTATATTACTTAATTTGGGGGATTAATTGAAGAAATTAATATATTGTCATTGGATTGGCAATGAATCCTATACAGATTATAAGTTCTTAAATATCTAAATTGAACACTAATAGTGGTAAATGTTTTCGGCAATAGTCTTATATTCAATTTTAAATATATTTGATGTGCTACATGATTTATTTTGGACATAATTTAGTGATGATATATATATTTTTTAAAATTTTTCAATGATTTTTTTTTTAGAATTTTAAAATTTTTTTATCTAGTATTTTTCGCGTATTAGCCGATACTGTATCATGATATCGCGACTGATGTGTATCAGTGCCTTCCAAGTTGATGGTCGATGCCGTGACCTTGAACCATGAGCCAAAGGAACAAGACAGTTTTGCTGATAAATTTTGTTGCAAGAAACACAAAACACTTTCATTTGGAATTAAACAATTGTTTAGCTTCTTAGTTGATGGAGACAAGTGGCTCAACAACCTTCTAAAATTTATAAACGAATGGAGAAGATGCTTCCATGGCTCAAGTTTTGATTTGACACATGTTGGATGATGCGGAGCCTATTTTGGGGGTTTCATAAGCATATTTGAGCCTTATTGTTAGTTGATTTGAGTTAGTTTGGTGGTATTAATGCGTTATGCGTCATTTTTTATGCTTTTGTAGAGTCAGGGGCCTTTTTTATTTTTTTTTTAATTTCTAGATTTGTTGGGACTGTGCATTGTATGACCTGTGGGTCATCTATTGGGTTGAATTCTAGTGTTGGATGTTTCTGGAGTTTAGAGTCCTAGTTCTTTAGTTTCCTAATCTATTAGTAACTTAGAGTCTTTGGGGTCCTAATCTTTTTAGGATTAGGAAATGCTTGGGCTTCTATATATAGCTATATGATATTTTCAATAGTATAGTGTCTATTTTTCTAAAAGATTTTCAGAAACTGTATGTTTTTGGATTGTGTGTTGCCTGAAGAACCCTAGGATTGATTCCCAGTCAAGATTTTTTAGCACGGTAGTGTGCCGAGACAAATTACTATTCACAGGATATGAACAACCTGTTAGCTGCAGTCCTACATCACTAATTCTTACAACAGACACGCTGAAGTATAGAATCTGCATTTGTTTAGTACATGAATATCTGATTTGTCATGTGTTTTACCTCCGTAAGGAAGTTACTTAAAGATCTTAATTGATATTGATGTGTGATCCTTTTTATTGACAATATAAGAGGCCCTCCGTCCTCTCGAATTCATCTATTCTGCTGTTGCTCAACCCTTTGCAATAACCTCAAAAAAATAAGGACTTCACTCTGGAAATGCATTCAAGTTCAACGATGACGACCACTGCAATGACCCTTAAAATCAAACCCATCTACAACCATTGAAATTCAAATTCAATGGACAAGAAATTGAGTGACCACCCAACATCCACTCGCGGAGAAAATGGTGGTGGGTGCAGTTTTGGGCTGAAAATACCATGACCAAGCAAAACCTCATCTCCGACTAGCTCAATTTCCAGATAAGACTCTATTGATTCTCCTCAACACACCTAGATAAATAGATGCTTACCTGTGTGTGTGTGTAAGAGAAAGACCATGAAGAGAAATCAAACCAATTGATCAAACTATGTCCTATCAAAAAAAAAATTTGACCAAACTATGCAATAGATCAAAAGTACTCATCAAGGTTCTAATCGTTCATTGATTCATCATCACGTACTCCCTCCCATTATCATGAAAGGTGGATGGGATGGTAAAGGAAAGGTTTGCTATAGGATTTCAAGAGGTTGATGGTGGAGATGATTTTGGAGAAGCAGATTTTGAGGATGGAGATTTGTTACAACGCTTTCTATGTCTCTAGTCATTGAATTCAAGGTACCACCATGGGTTGATTCGGGAGAATAAGAATCAAATTAGAGGGAGATGGAGTGCAACACCAACCACCTGATGCTTTGCAATCTCAGTTGTGAGATCGAAGTCTCCCTCGAAATCAATAACCTCGGATGGAGAGAACGGAAGAAGGGTTGGATATCTGAGGGAGAGATTGCAGTGAAGGAGAAGAGGAAGTCATGCTGTGTGTCTGTGAAAGTCGCTAAACTCTGTGAATGTGAAACAGAGAGAAGAAAAGGAGGGAGCAGAAGCGGGTCAAAGAGAGCTGCTGGTTTGTTTGCTTTCTAGTTCCACAGAATATGAGAAATGTAGAGAAAGAGCCTCTCTCGTTTATATAGTAAGTGGTCTTCAAAATTCATTTCATAACCCAAATATAGCGCACAGTACATGAGCTTTCAATATAGAGAATCATGTACATAATAGTCCAAAAATTACACAAATGTTCATGAATTAACTGGTAAACTTCAGCGAAGCTGTTTTATGTGAAATCTGGATTCACTGGTTGACCAGTGCGATGTTTCCTAAGGAGTGCAATTCTAATGTGGTTTGGTGAAGCTCTACACAAAGGACTGGATGACCATTTGTGTAAAAACAGTGTGTTTCGGAAGGAGAACCAGATGCCGTTTATCCACGTCTTTGACATTTTCTAGGAAGAAGGAAGCTGAGTTTGCTTCCTTGAGACAATTTACTCCACTTTCTGCTATGACAGAGAAAAAGAATATTGCTATGTTTACATAGGCAGCTAGGTATTTCCCTCTTGCCATAACTTATCCGAGCTCCATGATTGATATGTGCAACTTTTGGAAAAATTACTTGAATTTGGCCAGATTATGGGTTGCTACATGGATGCAGAAAAAACTTCATGATAATTGGGCTTTGTGACTATGCCAATTTTATTTAATCAAGACATGTACTATACTTATATTATCTTTCTCTACTGAAAAAAAAAAAAATTAAGAAACTTCATGATAATTAGGCTTTGTGACTATCATAGACAAAAAAATTTGGAAAATTTAACTGTAATTAATACACATTCAAAATAGACATTATGATGGAGATTGAAAAGGGATTGAACAAGTTTAAATTGAATGTTCCAAAAAACAAAAACCTTAAATTGAAGAATTTGAATTTATTTGTTTTAGTATTATTACGTTAATTAGGGAATATTTGTCTGAGTAGGATTGTTTTAAGCAATTTTAGTAGTGGGAGTTTTACTAGAATTTATTATAAAGTACATGACCAATAAATATTGATGTAATCCCTACTATTTTTATTATAGAGAGATTATGAATATGAATTGGTTATTCTTTGTGGAGATTTGTGTTTCTTGACCTAATCCTTGCGAGGATTTGGTGACCTGCTGTCTTCTTTTTCTTTCTCTTCCCCTCTTTTCCCCTGTCTTATGTTTCTAGAAATCCATTAGTCATTGTAATCTTCTTGATTACAATTGCAAATGTTGCCCCCCCCCCCCCCAAAAAAAGGCATTGCCTTACTGTAGCCTTCTTCATCGTCACAACCTTCTTGTTGCTGTTGTGACTATCTATTGAGAAGATTTGGTGAAGACCAATTGTTGATCTATTGCACTTTTACAGATTTTGGGAAGTTAGGGTTCAAAGGAATGAACCAGCCATTGCCCTAATTTCTAGCCCAAAACATAGTGACCAAGTAGGCGTCTAGAATATTCCAAATCCGGTCCTTTCCCAAGGAGCAACAGAAGCAGGCTTATTCCCACCCCCAACTATTCTAAAAGTGCACAAACAACCCCAAACCTTTAAGAAAAATATAGTTTTGACCCTATAATTTTATGAAGTTACAGTTTTGCTTGCGAAATTATTGTTTTGGTCCGAAGTTTTTGAAATTATAGTTTAGACCTAGATTTTTTTTGAAAATTTTCAAGTCATTACTTCCATTCAAGATGGTTACCAATGTCGGATTACTTGTCAAACTTGAGGCACATGATGATATGCTTGATTCACTCCAACAATCAATGGTGTTGCTCCATAGATCAATGAAATATCTACACGAAAGTGTACACAAATTAGCTGCCCTTTTTTGGATTTAAGCTACCGGTCAACAATTGTTTGAGCAAGTTTGATATCGATTCATCATCTTCATCCATTAGTCGTTAATAAGTTATTGAACAAGCTTTGCTATCACAAATTTTGATCCAATTGGATGACAAACCAAAATTTATTAGTGTTGATGAGCCCAAAAGTTTTCCTTCTCATCCAACATCAATTGTTTTTTAAAAGCCAATTTCAAAGGGTGATACTATAGATGAAGTTAAACAAGTTCCAAAAGTGATTTCTTTCGATGGGGTTCCAACTTTTTCGTCACTAATTTTCATGTTTTCTTTATCAGCATCTTTTTTTTGTGGCACAATGTGTGAAGGGTGTAAAGATTAGAGATATATATTCCTCCTATTGTGATATCTTATATTATGTCATTGAAGGGAGATCTTGCTCCTATGTTATCAAGATTGAGGATGTATTTCACCTGCCGATGCCAATTTTCTTGGAGTACTCTTCCTAAAACAACTTTTCAAATTAGAGTTTTTTTTTTTCAGTTGCGGAGAATTGATGGAGATCGAAAAGGGATTAGATAAACTTAAATTCAAGAATTTGAATTTAATATTTATTTTAGTATTATTACATTAACTAGGCAATATTTGTTTGACTGAGATTGTTTTAGTAATTTTTGTAATGAGAGTTTAACGAGGAAATGATTATAGAGTTTTAGTAGGAGAGTAATTTGAGAGTTTGATTAGAAGATTATTATAGAATTAGAGTAGGAAAATAACTTTTATTTTGGTAGGAGACTTGACATATAAATATTGATATTTTCTCATCTGAAGCATTGATACGTTATTTTCCCTCACGTATCCGTGTCCGACACGTCTGGGACACGGACACGCTTAGACCCATCTCGAACATGCAAAATCAATGTCCTGATTTTTATTTTTATTTTTTTGATAATCGGACACGTCCTGGATACGTAGAAACACTCGGATACGTTTTTTTCAACTTACCAATTTTCGGTTGTTTACAGTTGGGGTCAATGAAGACAAACTGCAACAACAAAGAAGAAGCCGACGAGAAAGACGAAACTCAAGCTATAGAGCACCAAAGGTGTCCAGCGATTAGCGGCCATCTCCAACGAGAAGAGAGCGGGAGAGATGTGCAGAGTTTTTTACTGAGAGAAAAGAGCTGCGTCGGTGTGTGTTTGTGAGAGAGAGAGAGAGGGGAATTGGGGGGCTTACGGCAAATCTACTTTTTTTTTTTTTTGGAAAAGTGGCAGATCTTTTTTTTCTTCTAGATTATTGTGTTGTTTAAATTAAGTCATTGCCATGTGACATTTGTTATCTCAGTTTTTACCTTATCTCCTTAACAACTTGAAAATATCAAATTTGGTCGAGATTAAATGAGAACTTAAAACTTGTACATTTCATTGGATGGGCCAACTTAAAAACTGATCTGCTTTATTGGCCTTTGTTTGGTCCAATAAAATTAATGGGTTAATTAAAATTAGATTACATTTGGGCCAAATTTATCCATTTACTGGGCCAAAAATATGTATAGAAATGTGGAATGGGTCAAATTTATGAATTACAGGTCATATAAAAATTAAATACATATATTTATTCAACGTGTCTGTGTTGTATTTTTTTTAGAAATGGCGTATAAACGTGTCCGTATCGTGTCGTATCCATGTTCCGTGTTCATGCTTCTTAGATTATCTCTATTATTTTTATTATAGAAAGGGGAGAATTATGTTTTTTGACTTAATTCTTGCGAGGATTTAGTGACCTCCCCTTCTTCTCTTTCTTCCTCTTCCCCTCCTCTCCCCATCCTACATCACATTACTATATGTCAATATTCCATTATCGTATCGTGACACACGTGTCGGATGTGCTTCATGTTAGTTATATCAATGTGGTAGCTGAATTGAATTTGTGGTCTTTACGTTCTATATATATTTGAAATGTTGAGAAAATATACTGTTGGCAGATGCATCATGCTGGGATTTTTCTGACAAAAGATGTGTAGGACATGCACTTCACAAGAGTACGCACTGTTTCTGTGGCATCTGATGGGAGCACTTCATCTCGTGGATGCTTTGAACTGTTTATGCCTTAATGTTGGAAGATGGGATATTTATTGTTATGTTTGTTGAAAACTACTGTCCTCTAGAACATAAGTTTTACTTCTATTCTAAGTTGTAGTCCAGTTGATGTCTCCATATAATATGCACAGGTCACACGTTTCTGCTGGTTTTCTTGTCATGTTAAAGCTGCTTGTGTCTGAGTGATAACATGTTATAAGGTGCTATGTGAATGTTTGGCATTTGGTGTCATGGATGTGTTGTACTTCTTGAAGTGTTCTAGGATAACTGATTCCACATGTCCTTTATTCCATGCAGCAATATTGGCAGATGAGATGGGTCTTGGTAAGACCATTCAGGTACACTGTGTACAAGACTCTTTCCTATGTTTTGATAGCTACTGTAATTTTCATTGAAAACGGCTGTTGTTTTTGTCTTATCAGGCTATAACATATCTAACCTTGCTGACCCACTTGGAGGATGATCCGGGGCCCCATTTAATCGTATGCCCTGCTTCTGTTTTGGAAAACTGGGAAAGAGAGCTGAAAAAATGGTGCCCATCATTCACAGTGCTCCAATATCATGGAGCTGGGCGTTCTACTTATTCAAAAGAGTTGAGCTCTTTGGCTAAGTCTGGATTGCCCCCTCCATTTAATGTCATTCTTGCTTGTTACTCGCTTTTTGAAAGACACAGGTTTGTTTTGCCATGTTTATCATACCTTTGTTCATATATACTTTTTCGTGAGAGTTATAATTTTGTTTTTATTTCGGATATTCGTTCTCCAGTGGGCAGCAGAAAGATGACCGGAAAATTTTGAAAAGTTGGCGATGGAGTTGTGTACTGATGGATGAGGCCCATGCTTTGAAGGATAAAACCAGCTATCGGTGGAAGAATCTGATGTCTGTCGCACGAAATGCAAGGCAGCGCCTGATGCTTACAGGGACACCGCTACAAAATGACTTACATGTAGGCTATAACTTCTCATCACATTCCTCAATGGATGTTATGCATTGTGTGATGCAATGAACTAGTAAATTGCTTTGGATTACCCATCCCAGTACACAGGATCCATACAAAGGATAATCTTGTATGAAGGTCAGAATTAGGAGGGAAAAAGCCAACTTTTTTTGTTTAATGATGTTTATATTCTTCAAATGGATTTAATCAGTGCACACAATTCTAAAATTATTTAGAAGCAAAGCAGGAATTTCACAATTCCTATCTAGCTGTACGGAAATGCTTAGGCAACTTTGATTTTCTTCTTCCTTTTTCTTTTTTTCTTAGAGAACATGATGGAAAAAGATGTTCTTCCTCTTGATCATTTTGAATATATTTGTAGTGGAATATGGTGCCCGCAGCGAAAACTAATAATTTTGCTTATGGTCCTCATACCCCAGACTTTGTCAGCAACTCCCTACTGTTTCATACCTAAGGTTAAACTAGTGATACATGCCTTTTCTGGTCCCTGATATGGTTTCATTCTTGTAAAGATACTTACTGCCTTGATTAGCTGTGTGATTCCGGTGCCTGCCTTAGGTTGCTTAGGTCCTCATGGACGATGTGACTTTTCATCTTTTTGCAATGTCTCATTGCTAAGGTTGAATGATGGAATCTAATAAAAGAAAAATGCTATACAATCCAAATGAAACCCAAAAAAGTGCAATCCAAAAGCATATAATCCCTTGGATGAGTGGGTCCCACTTAAAAAGTTAATAGGACCCACTCATCCAAGGGATTATATACATTTGGGTTACAACTTTTTTGTTTTCATTTAGGTTGTTTAGCATTACTCCTAATTTAAACCACAAAGAAAAAAGTACCAACTATCTTTTTGTGACAAAGGTGTAGCGACAGGAGGGTGGAACAAGGAGTGTTCAACTTATCCTTTTCTGACAAGGGCAAGTTGTAAATAAGTGTTTTATCTCTAAAATGGCTTGATTGAGGCTTTTAGCACCATTAGTGCTTTTATTGGTATTCTGAAATTGTACCTGAGCTGTAATTAATTGTTGTACATGTAAAAAATTAGACATATAAGTTCCAGGTGTTGTCAAATGAGCCAAATAGTAATATGAGCAGTGTTGTAAAAGTCGCGCCTAGGCATTCACCAAGTCTTAGGGTGACTCCAGGTGCACCCCTTGCATCTAAATCAGTCTCAAGTGAGGCAACTTTGGCGAGGCACAGTTGAGGTGCGCCTAGGGATTAATCTTAATCTCAAGGCAACCTTTCTGTTTTATTCCTCATGTCTTGATAAATTTTGGGCCAAGTACAAATACCTTAACCATACCTTTATCTTATCTAACCTATCTACAGACTTACCTGAGGATTGAGTCTATCTTCAAGCTCGAAGATGCCCGACTTTCTCCTTTGGCTACATCTACCATTATCTTTTTCTATGGAGGATATTTTCCTTCTTCTTCATCAATCATAGGCTGCCTTGTATGTCTAATGCCTCTCTTGTTTATGCTTTGTCTCCTCTGATGAATGTACGCCGGACTGTCTTTGCTTATTGGTTGTTTTGGTCTGTTAGGTCCATTGCTTTTCTTCTTTTTTTGATCTTTGTTAAATCTACTTATAATGATCAATTATTAGAAACCAAATTTCTGAAGAATTGGTTAACTGAAAGTATTAAACTAAACATCCCGTTTCGCTTGTGTCTGAAACCTTGGCAAATATCTAAGTTCCTTTTGTTTCTCCCCAAGAAAGAAACTCAAAAAAGAATAAAGGAAAATTGAAAAAGAATTATTTTCTAGTTCTTTTTTACATTGAAACCGCTGTTTCTGTCACACAGCCAAGATCAACCATTTATTTTACTCATTCTGGCAGTTCTTTTTGTTGTTTTCTTTGTTTGGTTTTGGAGGCCAAGAGATTTCAAGCTCTTTGTTTTTTTTTTTCCTTTTTAAAGCAAGCCATGTTACTTTGCTTTTCAAACCCTCTTTTACTTTTGTTTATCTGATTGTCCCTCTTGGCTTGGTAACTCGGTATCTCTACACTATAAGTTTGTCGTGAAATTAATTCTTCTTGCTTGTGCTATCTATCTAATATTACAGATAGGAAGTTGGAAGTCTTAATTTATAAAAGCACAACAACGGGCAAGATTGATATAATTTTTAGTTTTGATCCAATGGTACAAAATTTATCCTAATTTTTTTTATCATGCTAAAAAATATCATCTTCTCTGGACAACTCTCAATGTCAAACAATTCAATCTACACATTCTCCAATGTCAGACAACTTTACTAATCCAAACCTATCTCTCTCTTCTGTCTCCCCAACCGCTATTTTATTTTCGCTTTATTCACTTTAATTTTAAATTTTGTATCAAGAAAAAATAAATAAATTGCTATTTAATATAGAAATGTTGTATGATCAATGATCGATTTTTAGTGTCGCAAAGTATTTTCTGCACAAGGTTATTGTTAGTTTATAATATTGAGTATTTGACAAGTTCGAACTTTTTTCAAATGTTTTGTTGTGACTTGTAATCTTTTATCTTGAAAGATTTGTCTATGATAAAAAATTTTCTTTTTATTTAAAAAGTTTGACAAGCTTCGATGAAGCCCTCGCATCACCTCTTGCTTTGGACTCAAAGGACTCTTAAGGGGCTGTTTGGTAAGTGGGATCGGGGGGCTTTGGAAGATGGGTTGGGGAAAAATAGTCCAAATAACACACAAAACCCATGTTTGGCCAAAAATTTGAAGTCTGGGTTACCAAACCCGGCCCACTATTGGCCTAAACTTTAAATCCTAGATCATGGGTTTCATCAAACCCATGGGTGGGGGGATTTCGAATGATGGCTAATGGATTCAAGATACAAAAGGACAATTATACCCCATACGTATATAAACATGAGTTTGGATTAGATTGGTGAAGGTGCACAATAGTCATTTATATATAAATATATTATCATAATAGTAATATATATCCGTGCGCATACCAAATATGGGTATGGACTGGATTTAATGTTGAATCCTATTTTTGTAAAGAAGGGTTTGAGTTTGAAAGGGTCTGGGGAAGCCAATCGAAACCCTTCCCAAAAATCTATCCAAACAAAGTACCTTTGCCTTTTTCGCAAATTCTAGTAAAATGTTTTTACAGTAGGATCATCAATTGATCAGTGGTGAGAGTATCATTTTTTTGGTTAGTAGTATCAAGTTTTTCTCTTCATGTGATTGGCATTTATTTTTGGATTGATTGTTATATGCCCTTTTGATAGATTAGCTCAACTGATTAATATTCTGAGACATTACTCTTGAATTTTTTTTTCAGTCTTTGTAATTACTTTTCACTTGGAATATCTTTGTTCAGTTGGTGAGTTGTCCTTGCAGGAACTTTGGTCATTGTTGGAGTTTATGATGCCTGATCTCTTTGAAACGGGAGATGTCGACCTGAAAAAGCTGTTAAATACTGAAGATAGGAATTTGATTGCTCGAATGAAGTCCATGATGGGACCTTTTATTTTGAGGCGTTTAAAATCAGATGTAATGCAGCAACTAGTTCCAAAGATACAGAGGGTATGTCTGTTATTTTTCTTTTTCTGATTTAGTTTTACAATAGGTGTCAGGGTAAAATGCACTGGCTTGTAGGTTTGTATTCTGTCAGCCCCTCCCAGCATCGTCGGTTAATAAGGACAACATAGGGTAATGTTCTTTTATGGCCCTTTTTAGCTCCAAAACATTCAACACATTTTTTTTGAAAAACTTTCTTTACTTCCTTTCTTGACTCTTGCTAATGCCATTTTGCTGTTTTCGCTTGTTATTTACTTCCTCCAAAAGGGCTGAAAAAAATGTTGCTGCAGGTTGAGTATGTGCATATGGAAAAGCAACAAGAAGATGCTTATAAAGAAGCAATTGAGGAGTATCGTGCAGCTTCACGAGCACGTATTGGGGAATTCTCCAATAGTATTGTTCTTCCTCGACGTCAGATTTCCAATTTCTTTGTTCAGTTCCGTAAGGTGCTACAGATTTTCTCCTGATGTTTGCGTCAACTCCAGTTGCTTCAGATATAGTCATACTTATCAAATGGTTATGTTTGGTTTGTTAATGATGTTATTCCTTATTCCAGATTGCGAATCATCCTTTATTGGTGAGGCGTATTTACACTGATGAGGATGTCACTCGTTTTGCTAAAATGTTGCATCCAAAAGGGGTTTTTGGCTTTGAATGTACGAAGGACAGAGTAATAGATGAGCTTAAAACTTACAATGATTTCTCTATTCACCGGGTAATATTTTTCTCCTGTTTTTACTTTTATTGAATCTAATATCACAGACACGAAGCAACACTGTATGGGCACACCATCCATATGTAACTACTTAAATATAAAGTTTATTTTTTTGGGGATATATCTATAAAGTCATAACATGAAATTCCTAGCTTTGAAATCATTATAGTCAACAATCTACCATATCTAATAGACAAAGCAAAGAATGGGGAGAGAATTTGCTCTTTGGAGGATACCTCGGGGGTTTATTGTCATTCGTATCCTTGTTACCTCATTTACTTAGGTTTCTAATATGATCTCATCATTTTCTTCCTTGAGTTGTTGGAATTTTGACTTTAGATATTTGAATGATAGAGAAGTTTCGAAATTGAGAAAATGTGAAGCGACGTCTAAACCTTAAATGGACCTAGAAGGGAGAAGTTGAATAGGTCTTTCGTGATAAGTTAGTTGTTAGTATTGTACGATACGCGATACGTATCGTACGATACAGGCCTAAAATGATACGGATTGTAATTATGTATCGTTTTTGCGTTGTATCGTCCGATATACGATACGTTTTTACTATACGTGCAAAAGCTATTTTTTTTTTTTGATGGAACGACGTTGTTTTGTGGCAAGAGGCTGATTTTTTTATTCCTATAACCACTGAAACGACGTCGTTTCAGTGGCTAGGGTTACAAAAAAATAAAATCCCTCTTTTTCCCTTCTTCGTTGTTCGCTGGTCTTCGACTCTGGTCTCTGAGTCTTCTTCAGCCTTCGACGACGTTCGCTGGGTGCTCGCTGGTCTTCCACTCTAGTTGCAACTAGGCCTGGGGAATGTTGTTTTGTGCGGCCCATAAGCATTTAGTTGAGTTTCTTGCTGAAAATAGCTCCCAGGTGCACCGGCAGGCACTGTTTGGACAGTGTTCTGCTTTATTTGAATCTGTTTATTTTTTTCAGGCTGTTATTCCACCTGCTTTGATCATTGTCGGTTGTTGCATTTTGAGCTATTTGTGATAATCAGTTTTTTTTCTTTCACTCATTGGGGAGTTGTTAATGGATGTTAGAAATTTGGATTAGAAGTCTCTTTGTCTTTGGTGTTTGAAGTTTGAATTAGTGAACTATGGTTGTGAACTTTGCATTATAATATTAGTGAACTATGTTGATTACTTGAATAGTTAGTGAAGTATTAATGAAATGCTATGTTTTTTATGAGTGTATGATTTTTTTCAAAGGTATATATATTTTATTATTATTTATTTAAATTTGCATTGTATCTTACGATACACTATTTTTAAAAAACGATACGCCTTTCGATACACGATTTGATAATTATGGTGATAACAATTACCAATAAAAAGGTTAACCAAGTTAAATAGGTAATCAATCACAAGAATAGAAACAAAATCTCATGCAATGGCAAGAAATTAAGCACAAAAGAACACAACGATTTTAACATGGGAAACGCCAATTGGTGTAAAAAAAAAACACTGGGCCAAATTCAGTCCAACCAATTCCATTATTGAAATTGAAGTATTGATCCAATACTTTTATTTAATAGAGGAACCTCTCCAAGGTTGGGCACATTAAACCCACCCTAGTAGAGTATACCTGTAGTCACTCGCTAACAAGTATTGGTTAAACTTGAAGGACACTTGTGAGGATCAAACCTAGGATGTCTGAGTATCGTCTATTTGCCCCAGACTCAACTCCACATTGTTGGGCTATCTGTGCGGGTTAGATTCAATACTTACATTGCTCGTTAGACACACTAGCTATAAGATATCCTCTTATTTCATATTCCAGTCGATGAACCTTGCACCGTTTAATTGGTATCCCATGCCGGCTCCTCTAATGAAGGTTTGGATCAGACTCCTACTCTAGGAACACATATTGCCTTAATCCACAATGGATCGCACCAACTCACAGTGGATCCTCAAACTGTACCTCCAAAACTCAAGGAAATTACCGACAACAGATCAAATCACCAATGTGTAAACAAACTTGTTCTATAGAGGAACAATAGTTTTGAGACTTTGGAACAAACCTAGAAGGGATATTCTGGAATGCCACAAGTTTAAGAGTTAGATTGAAATAAGTGAAGAATTTCTAAGAACAATTAAAGAAGGTTATCGTGGGTCGCTTCAGTACGTGATACGGGCAAGTGAAACGACACTTTCTTATGTACGAGGTACAATGGGAGTAGACTTAGCTGGTATGATATTTTGGATCGCAATTCGTTTTAGAACTCTTATTTAGATTGTTTTCACTATTACACAACGTTATGTATCATAGAACATCCATAACCACTAAATTGGTTACCATTTATCTTACATTTATGTTCGATTTTTTATTATCTAAAATATTATACAATTATAAATCTATATATACGTATTAATTAATATTTATTTTATATTTGTGCTACATGTTTCAAAGCAAATCGATTTAAGGTTAGTATTACAATTTAAGGTTGTACATTTTAGTGATCTAAATCGTGAACCCACCGTATTGGGGATATATATGTGCCCAAATCATAGATCGTCAAGTGTTTAATGAATTCTGGTAACTATGAATATGAATCAAACACTCAAGGAGAGCAACAATGACTTTTTCTAGATCTTCAAAGCTCTCAACTAGGTTTATTTTTTTGTCTTCCTCTACTAAAAACGTCCAAGATTTGTCTCTAAATAGGTAAGACAACATAGATCCGAGTTAGGAAGAAATCTCACTCAAACAGCGAAATCATGTGCTCTGTTCTCCTGCAATTGCTCTAGTTCACTTGAGCTTGCCAAAGTGCCAAGTGAGCACGAAGTCAATAGGAGCTACTAGACAAAATCAACCAGTTTCCTACAGCACTGCTCTAGCGCCCATGGTGCTTGCTTGAGCACCAGTCATATCTAGCCTCAAAATTTGTCTTCAAAAAACACGTTTTCCAACTGCTAATATTTTTCAAAACAATTATCACAATAAAAACACAATGCCAAATATGATTAAGCTATAGTCAAAGGTAATTGGTTCAATATTTAGACAAGTTAAGAGTATTCTTGATAATGTTGTGTTGAATCTTTCTTCTTTGGACCGAAACAAGTGGGCTATTTCTTCTGTGGGGGAGTTTTCTTGTCAATCCCTTTTTGAATCTTTGATTAATAAACCTTACTTCCCACTCTTCCAACCCTTATTCACGAAATGGAAGCCTTGGGCTCCTTTAAAGGTGGAAGTTTTGCTTGGTTACTTGCACATAAGAATACGAATGTATGAATCGCCTATTTTTGCATTATTCCATTGTGTTTAGCCAAAAGAACAAAAGGCAACTCAATTCCTAGCAATTTTTGAAGTAAATGCTTCATTACTAGGAATGGATGCTGTTCCTTATTCCTTGTTAAAAAGGGGGTTTACAATTTTTTTCCACACCTAAAATGGATTTAGCTATTATATTAAAAGTTATATTTTTCTGGTATGTTGAGATGATTTTTCAATAATGGGAAGAATTATTAATCATATGTTGGGGTTTATATATGTTTAAAACGGTTCTTTACAGCTTTTACTTTATTATGGTGACACTGATACAAAGGAAACTCTTTTGGAGGAACATGTTATGGTCTCAGCAAAATGTCGGGTATGTTTTTAATTACTACACAAATGTTTATAAGAAAATTAGTATGTTGTCAAAATTTGTAAAAGGTGAGGACTTTATCTACTGTGCTCAAATACTAATTATAAGTGCTCATTTGATATAGGCATTAGCCAAACTTCTACCTATACTACACCGAGGTGGGCATCGGGTTCTTATTTTTAGCCAATGGACGTCAATGCTCGATATATTGGAGTGGACTTTGGATGTAATTGGGGTTACTTACAGGCGCCTTGATGGAAGGTACAACTGTTTTTGTAGCTTCATCTCCCTCTTGCAAGCAATGCAGTTGATCACCTGGCATATGCATGTTCATGTATCAAGTAGATTTCCTGAGTAATGCCTCTGAGTTTGCCATCTGGCATTATGTTCTATTGGGTATCTTTTCCTCAGTAAGGAGACAGATTAAGGGACTAATTTGTAAGAATATATTTATCACTATATTGCATATCCATGAGACCTGAACAGTATTTGATAAGACTAAAAAATCACAATCGTGAGATATTGCGATATGGAAGGATATAAGCTGAGCATGATACTCCCACAAATAATATCAATAGAAAATTGACATGTATTCCACAAATATCATAAAACAGGGAAATATTCATCCATCATCTTTTTATCTATGAAATATATGTTTAATAGTTATCTTTCTTAGTTTGATATCTCTTCAACCTTTTCCTTCTGCCTGTGTATTCCTTCAGCATTGGAGCATTAAAAGGCTGAAAGTTTAAAGCAAATAATTAATTGTTGTACGGTTTCTAAGAAAGTGGTATCATGACCGATATATCAGTATGACTTACTTATGTAGTCATGATGACTAACTATTCCTTCAAATTGTCCTGGTGAAAAAAGTTACTTTTGAACTGATATTCCATGTTAGCTCCATTGGCACTGTGCATATAGTTTAGTATATACATTGCTGGTTTGGTGGGGATTTATATCTGTATGATGATGAAGTTGTCATTATTAAATTTCATGAAAATACTGAATTAATAGTGTTTTTGTCTTATTTTTAGAAGAATGCCCCTATACTTTCTGACAAAAGAATGCATTTTGGTACATTTGTGACCCTTTTCAAATATGCATCACAGTTGCAATATTTGTGGCCAAAATGATGTATTTGTATCTCGGTATCTCTACTGGCGTTAGTTTGATTATTTACTATTCATATTCGTCATTATGAAATATGGTGATGCCATCACATGATTGCGATATATTCATATATCTGCCATATTTGTGTTGAGATATTTCTTGCTTCTCAGAAAGGTCTTTTTCTAGTCTTTTGGTGAATATCCCTATTCTCAGCGTCTTCATTGCTCTGAAGGCATTTGTGAAAGGGTCAAATAGCTGCATTTGGTTGTGCAAATAATAGGATTGATTGGAGGATTAATCAAGTGTCATCATGTCTATTTATAATTGTGATTGCAGTGCTAGTGGTAATTTGTCAACAGTATGTAAAGATTGCGGGTTCAATTCTGTTGTCCAAAAACAAAGATTTTGTCATTGATTTTTCAATTGATTGTTTGAGTATTACTTCTGTTAATGTCAGTACTCAGGTGACGGAAAGACAGACAATCGTAGATACATTCAATAATGACAATTCCATATTTGCATGCTTGCTGTCCACGAGAGCTGGAGGGCAGGGTTTGAATCTGACTGGAGCTGATACTGTTATCATTCATGACATGGATTTCAACCCACAGATTGACAGGCAGGCTGAAGATCGCTGTCATCGCATTGGCCAAACAAAACCTGTTACGATATACAGGTGCCCCTTCACTCCTCAACACCCCTCTATCCTTCCTCCCTCGTTTACCACCCCTCTTTTCATTCATTTTATGGCAGTACTTTTGATTTGACGATTTATTTTCTTATTATTGTTTTTTAAAAGGTTGGTGACGAAGGATACAGTGGATGAGAATGTTTATGAGATTGCGAAAAGGAAGCTAGTATTGGATGCTGCTGTTCTTGAGTCTGGCTTGGAAGTAAACCATGAAGGTGACGTGCCTGATAAGACTATGGGAGAGATATTATCAACATTGTTGCTTGGATAACACCCCCAGCCAGGAGTGGAGATTACACCAAGTTTGATTTCTTTGCTTTTAATCTATTTTTCTTTTGCCTTTTCTTTTCTTTTCTTTTCCTTCTGGTTTTTTGTATTTTTTTTTTGGGGGGGGGGGGGGGGAAGAAAGCAATTGGAAAATCTTTTTTTGCATGATAGGCCCCTTGTTGTATTAGTTAGGGCTTATGTGAGAAAATTTTTGTTAGCAATTGATGGAGCATGCGTAGTATAGGTTTAAACCAGTCTTACTCATGTATTGAAACTAATTTGAATGCACAAGAGATTGCCTGGACACACATTTTGCTGTGGAGATTTCTGCAGAATTTCTGTTTTCCCATATCCGTCAACAAAATGACCTTAATGGTTCTGGAACTTTGGTTGTTTTATCCTGTTTCTACTTATTACAAATTTGGAAAATTGGAAACTTTTTCAGTCGTTGAGGCGGCACCGACACTGCAAGATATCCTGTTTTCTTGGTTTCTTTGCCAATTTTGTTTAAGACTTGGATCTCGTAGTGTACGTGTCCTTATTTTTGCTACTCATCGATCATATATAATGAATTTAAGTGAAACTTATGTTGAGAAAAATTTATTGGAGTGAATTTAAGGCCCTCTTTAGTTTATATCTCAAAAAATAGTATTTGAAAATTATTTTTGAGAAACGTTTTAGAAAAATGTGTTTTGATATTTTTTTGTATCGTAGAACTTGTTTGATTATATTTGTTTGCTCGATTTTCTTGCTGATATTATCTGAATAAGTGGCATAAATACCATTCTCAATAATGTTTTAGTAAACATCGAAGGTCAATTATGCCATCTGACCCATTATATCTCAAATTAGTTTTTGCTTTTTTATAGTCCCAATTTTGGATGTCTCGTAAATTAGATGAAAAGTTGTGTCAAAATAATTATTCGTATAAAAGATAAAATTTTAATTTTAGGGCAATGTAAGACCAACTTAAGTAATTTGAAAGAATTAGTTATTGTCCGTGCTTGAAGGCACAGAGTAATAAAAAAATTTATTAATTATAAGCATATTTGTATTCACACTCAAAATTAAATCACAAACATAGATGAGAGATAAAAAAAATTTAAGTACTGATTATAGTGGGGTTGAGCAGTGGTGGTGGTGGCGGCATAAGTCACTTCAAATGGACTCTTAGATGACATATTTTCTCTATAAAACTAAATTTAAGGAGTTCATATTAGTCGGAATAATTTTAAAGTAAAATTTAAAACTATCTCAATTGTAAAAAATAAAAATTATTTTTTATTTTTTTCAATCTTTGTACTTAGATAATTATATGAGAAAGATGAGGTGAAGTGAGGTTGGGACCGTAGTAACAATGATGCTAGATTGATCAAATTTTTGGACTAAATTTGAAGTTCAAATGACATGACAGTTGATTTGGACTTTTTTAATTGACGTTATGTCATTTGGGTCCCAATAAAAATTACAAATAATCAACTGTTATATCATTTGAGTTTAAAATTTATCTCAAAATTTGGTCAGTGTAGCATTACTCCCGTAGTAATAAAGATATGAAACATAATTTGCTCAAAATTGAGATATATTTGTATTGGGAACGAGTTCCGCTAAGCGACTAATTGGCTTGTTTTCGAAGTTTGTAGCTCAAGTTTCCCTTACTAGCAACAAACCTTACTTAGCTAGCGCTACCATTAGCACGTAAGTTAGCTACAACTGAGCTGCCTTACTTTAACAAGTCCCTTGGTTTTGTTTGTGCTAAACGCAAATTGATTTTGAGCTTTTTTCTCCAGTTCAAACCAGGAAATATTTTTCAAGTACATTTAGTATGACAAGTGATGGTCTTGAACCATTTGATTTAATACCCGTTTATCTCCTCCCTTGCTACCCTTCCCATGCACGAACGGTGTCAAGGGTCTAAGTTTAACGCAATGGTTAAGTCACACAAGAATGGTTATATAACCTTTATCCTGTTTCAAAGCACTATCAATGTGGAATTACGTAACCCAAAATATCTCACTTTGGTAAAAATATTTCTTAATAAAATAGTCAAACAAAAATCTTGTTTTTTATATCGTGAATAAATATATTTTTAACTAGCATGAACAAAATTTGACATTGAATTTGGGCAAAAAGTTTCCCAACAAGTTGCTAATGAGGGCTACTCCTTAGCACCCCCACCCACAAGAAGAATTCGAATTTCTGGTAAGAGAGAAGAAAGTCTTATGTATAGCCCTTGTTACCACTAATTAGATAGGCGTACCACCTATTACCTCAAAAGAAACCCATCTCAGAATCACTCCTAAACAGTTTTGTTCCACATATATACTTAATCTTACACAATCCAGCAACATAGGAAACATATTCACCTCATTTACATACCGAAATCCATCCATGCAATCAATTACAAATCTTATGTAGTGTACATAGACCACACCTGTCACTGGTAGCAATCAGAATTTTTGAAGCAATTTGAAGAATTCAGAATGGTTCTTATTATTCTTAGTTGTTTGGGTTGGGGGAGGGAGCGGGTTGCTTATAAGTGCACATCTTATTTTCAACTTTTCAGGTTGCATAAGACAAACTAACTCCAACTGCACAATGAGATGACAGGAAAAAACTTAAGACCGAAGTTCTCAAGCAACAGTTGGTTTAGCGATTGCTCTCGCTTCAAGTGTTTTCTCATATTCCTCAATCGATTTGAAGAGTTCTGAGAAATTGCCCTTTCCAAACCCTCCACATCCAGCTTTCTGGTATGGCTTGTCTTCCTCATCCTTGAGCATGCACCCTACTCTCTGAATAATCTCTACAAATATGGTGGGCCTGCACAAAAGAACGAGCAATTGAAAGCATTTAATTAAAGAGGAGATATTCTGTTGTCCAATTACATTTAACACAGACAGGAAGAAGGGGGGGGGGGGGGGGGAGGGGGGAAGTTGGCAAGATACTTCACACAACAATCCTTTCAACATTATCTGAATTTTTTTTCTCCATTTCCTCTTTTGTTGTTGCAATAAAACTGCCCAACACATACTTAATTTCCTGAAAAAGGGCATATATTATCTTAATTTTTTTTTCTTCATTCCCTTTTTTTGTTGTTGCAATAAAACTGCCCAACACCGACTTAATTTTCGAAAAAAGGGGCATTGTTGACCTTATCAATCTTTCTTAACGCAAGAAAAATTAAAGTGAGATGGATTTTTCTCCTAGCATTTGTTCACCTCATTGTAATACTTCTAACAACACCATATAAATAACTACAACATGTTTCCTCAACACAGGCAGTTGTGGTGCTAAAGGTTTCGCATGCAACTACCTACCTGCACCAATGCGAGTTAACAAAGTAAAACGTAAAATTGTTCTATCTTTTATAGAAAAAAATATATTGGATCAATAAAAAGCTAGATGTTGTCAATGATAAATAGAAGAGCCCCAAAAAAACTAAAACAGGAAACAAAGTGAGGGAAACAAATGCATAACAAGCAAAAGTAGCTATACGATCATGAGGATAAAATAGGCAGTTTAAAGGTTCTAATGTGATAGCTTCCCATTTAGCAAATAACTTGATCCAAAATGGTCATCAAGTGCATTCAGTAAAGAGAAGCCCATGTTGAGTAGAATAAATAGAACACACATGTTCCTCATAGACCTAGTTTCCTCCTCCGATGAATTCCTCTGAAGGAAGATCTGCATGGCCATGCCCATCAAAAATTTAGTGAACAGGGTCACCTCGCTTTCAATGAGGATTGAGTCAGCATGGCCTTCCTTGTTTCCTAGGAGTATATATGCCCGTTATCAGTGAAATGGAAACTACACCTATGGATCTTTGCAATACCATGAGAAACAAAAGGAAACTTAACTCTTCCAAATTGTCTTTGACAAATTAATGCCTATGTAAATTGGAAGTCCTCTAGCAAATTAGATCAAAGTCTCTTCACTCTTACCTTTGGTCATCGTTCCATGCAAAAGGGACAAAATCAAGTACAAATATAGCACAATTCTGTAGCAACTTGCCTCTTTTTCCCACAAACCTCTTCAAGTTCTTATATTTTCCAAGAGAGCATCCATTGGTACATGCTTATTCCAACAACCCATTCAATTGTTATTATGAAGTAGAAGAGACCTTGCTAAGAGTACATAATAGCTTGAATATGATTCGCTTGTACAAAACATACAAGTGTCAGCTAAAAGTGCTTTTATGAGGCCTGCCACCTACCCTTGTAAAGCATTCACCTTCCCGTCAACCACAAATAAACAAATCAAAACACAGTACCATTGGAGCTTTGAAAACACTTGCATAGGTGTGCAACTTGGGCGGGTTGGACAATCAACCATAATTCAACCCCAGGTATATAATCTTCAACCCTAACCCTAACCCTAACCCTAACCCTACCTTGGGTTGGGAAGCTCAACTCGAGCACTACCTGAGTTTAATTCGGGCGGACTCGGGTTAATGATTTCGGGTTACTTTATGGGTTCAATTCGGGTAGAGCCCAAAATAGGCTTGTTATTCTAAACCTAATACATATATTACATAATATTCATTTAAATTAACAACCAATAATTTCAACCAAATTTTTAACGAGAGAGACTGAGAGAACGAGAGAGACAGAAAACGATAGAACAAAAATAAAAAATCAGTACTAATGCTTTATATATCTAATATATATATAATTTTTTTTTTTATTTTGTCGGGTTCGGGTTGAATTCGGGTTCACCAGGCCTTAACCCGAGCCCAACCCAAATTGAATTTGGGTTGAATTTTTTAACCCAAACCCAACACAAGTATTAAACACCCTTGCCTAAACCCTAATTTTTTCGGGTTAGGCTCGGGTTGCCCAACCCAAGTTGCACCCCTACTTGCACAATACCCAAGTCTAATCCAACCATCCGAGTTTTCAATCATAATGACCCGTAAGTCGAGAGAATAGATTAAGACATATTAGAAAGGTAGTTTGCCTATACCCTGGCTATAAACCAGCTACACATATTGAGGTAGGAGATAACAAACCTTGAGCAATAGATTCCATGCCCTTCTCATAAAGAAATTTGATAATTTTTTAAAGGCTGCTTAAGCCTACACAGATTGCGACATCCCACGCTGGCTTGGGATAGTCAAGTGAAACAAGCGTCACATTCTTGCAGGAATGCAAGCCATCCCCAAGTAGTGTGGTTTCTACGAATCACATTACCTAGATCGCCATCTTCCCCTCTTCCAATACTCTTGATTCCATTAAATTTGAATGTTCTCATACCTATTGGATACCCTAATTTAAAATCCTAAAACAAACACGAAGTAGGAAACTTCTATTCAATAGCACCATTTGAATAAGTGTAGTATCCAGAAGAAGTATAATCTTATCCCGTGCACTTGACATTTCTGCTTTCAACTTCAGTCCTGCCGTTTTTATTACATGGTTTGGACCCTTAAGTCCTTCACATTCAGATACTACAGTATTACTGCCAAGAGGAAGCCAATATTCTTAGAGCATCTCCAACAGTGCTCTTTATTTTAGAAAGCATCTTTTCTAAAATAGATAAAGAGTTACAATAGAGAGTGAATTTTTACACACCACTCCAATAGGACTCTATATTCTTGTCATTTTATCATTTTATGTTTTGTCCTTTTTTGTAAAAAATTTGACTTCCCTCATATTTTTCCTCTATTGTTTTAAATGACATACATTTACCTTAAATGTCTTGGATGAAAAGACAAATATATACTTTTTTTCTGTTTCAAAAAAATAGAATAAAGACTGAGTTTGACTTTCTAAATGTGGAGAGTCATATTGGATTCATTATTTTAGAGAGTCTAAATAAATAGTTTATTGGAAAAAAAATTTTAAAGGTCGAATCCCTATAATAAAATTTGAGTGAGAATAAAGAGTCTATTGGAGATGTTCTTATATTGGTCAACCAAAGACCCTACAATCTGGACCATTCACCAAGACCAATCCATCTTACTACTAACACCAAATTTGGAGCCCTCATTCAATCAAATTTTGAAAACCAAGATCCTCTCTACCATATTCAAAACAAGTCTCAATCAAAATGTGTTTTCCTTATATCCTAACTAGGCCTGGCAATCGTGTCGAGTGGAACAGTTTCGTATCAGGTGGAACGTGTTCGTGTCAAAAAACTCTCTATCTATACCCTATTCGTTTATATAAACGGGTCCAACTATAACACCTATACACAAACTCGTTTATTAGATGAGTTATCCGACATAACTCTTGTGTCACTAGTAAATAAGATATTCTGTTAAAATATTTTGAGTTCACACAAAAAATCATCAACTCACCGGACATTACACTTGTTTAACTTATTTATTATAACAATAAATCATAGCTGAAAAAATAAAAAACAAAAAATAAATATTAAATTACTACCAAATTCAAATGAGTCTAAGAGATGGGAGGCGTGAGATGAGGGAGTGACTGAGATACCTATATTTTTTTAGAATTTATCAAATTAACCCGTTAACCACCCCAATGCATTAAGACTACACCCAAGTCATGTCGATTTCACAAGTCGTGTCTAAGAATGTCAGGTCTTATCCTAACACAAAAAAGTCATTCTCTGATAAATAAAAAACAAAAATTATTAGTCCACAACATGTTGCGATATTTTTCTTTGCTTTAGATAGTACTCTATTCCTGCTGTAGACACCAATGTTTAACAATGGCAAAGCTACGCTTGGGCCAAGAAATCTTTGGCCCACGATTTTATTTTTTCAAAATGTTTTTAATACATGTACACATATATTCATATATTTCCAGAAATTTGTATTGTGTCCTCCCTATCATTCGTGTATAAATCCATACCTAAATAACTATGATTACGTTATGAACATGTTTCTGCACAGATGAGCATGTTGGGAACCATTGACTCCCCATAATTGAGAAGGCATAAAGAATGATTCAACTTCGAGGAAACAAAGGATGTTTCTTTTTCTCCTTTTGGGTTTTTTTTTGTTTGAGGTGGGTTGATGTGTGCTTTTTTTTTTTTTTTTTTGGGTTGGGGGGGGGGGGAGAGAATCTCGTTTCCCGTTACATTTTGAGTTGAGTAGGTAAGGTTTGACTCTCCTCCTTAATACTGACAAATTGGTAGTTCAACATTTAGGTATCACCCAAAGTTTGATACGGCCAAGCTAGCTCAAATATACTTTAGTTATGACTAGACTACACTATTGCCATGCTGGCATTTAGTCTCTTCCCTCACTTAAGAGAGCACTTAATAAGTTTCAAATGATATTCATCCTAAAATCAAACATTTGAAAGAGCAATCCGTCCATTATAAGTCTCCAAGAAGGTGAAAGGTAACTTATAACTGAGCATTTACAAAAGCATCTCTAATTATCATCACCTTGGTGTTCCCTCTAATTACTGCAAATCCTCTCGAAATTCATTGACAAGGTCGTGACTTTAATACCACTGGCAATAAAGTGATATGGGATCCCAATGAGGAACAAGATGTCAAAAACCTGGTTGAGAGGACTAGAGCTTTAGTGACTAGATACGTGTAGCTCTTGTTCTCAGAATGGAAAAACTCAATTTGGTTAGAATGTTGTAGATCTCAGCCTAAAAGCAAGAGTTTTGGGGATATAAAGCCACCTAATGTTTTCTCTTCACCGAGAGGAAGATCTTAAAAACTAAGAGACTCCTGGTTGTTTCCTCAAAATGTAGGGAGTGGAATATCAACCTTGCATCTACGAGTTCCATTCATCACTGATTAGAACAACATATCATTTCATGATTCAAGTTTACTCAGGAATGTCATAGCTATTTCGTTAAGAGCAATGTTATTGAGACCTAATTTACTGACCTAATTCACTTAGATCTTTGAATTCACTATAGACTCCCATCAAATATTGGAAGTTGACGTTAATTCAATAATTCCTATAAAATCACATCATTATGTCAGTAAATTATATCAGATTTTTAGGTCCAAATAGTATTACTCTTTTGTTAAAGGGGAATTATTGAAAGTGGCCAAGTGCAACAGATTTTGCTGATCTCATGGAGAGATCAAGTTGAGTATTCTACGGTCTATCTTCATCAAATTTGGGGAGCATGCCACTGTTGTAAAGTAGTTATCTTCAACAAATCAATTAATAGACTGAGCTTTAGATCTAGTGGTTGTGTAAATCAACAAAGCACTCATCTTTTCCGTAAAACAATCATAGCGTCCCATCAACACTTGTTCTATGATAGTTCATCTACTGAATGCATATGAATCTTTCTCATGCACGAGTATGTCATTAGTTGGCAGAGATGACGTTGTAAAAATCTTATGTCTGGGATTCTCATCAGCAGTGTAGAATACTTGAAAGGAGAGAAATAACAAGGTCTTTGGGGTGATAAAAATAAAATAAAAAAAATAGGGTTTTTGGGAATGATTACATCACTCTGGTAACTCCTCAAAGGAAATCTTAGATCAATGTACATTAAGCTCGAACACAAAATGCTGAATGGATAACTTCTGAGACACCTTGCAGCTTTCTTTTTGGCTTAGAAAGGCAAAGTAGGACCTCAAAGATCTTTTGTTGTACTTGTGGTTGTTGTACACCAGTGCCTCGTACAATTCATTATTAAAGGGGTACTACTTCCTAAATACGGCCTTTGGATCAGAATGTCTGGTGTTTGCTGGCTCATTGCATGGGGTTATACCCCTTATAGCTCCTCCTCCCTTAATGCTCAATTTTCGTTTCTATGGAGGCCATATACTGATAAATTCTAGTATAAGCTTGGGGCCATAAGTCTCGAGAAACACCACAGTAATGGCATAATAAAGGTTAAATGCACAAGAATATATATCTTATTATGAAATATCAGTGCATACATAATAAAAATTTTGGAAGCTTGTTATTTGTTCTTGCACCTCAAATTTCTTATGTGCTGTGCTGGCTTATATCTTAATACTAACAAATGTAGATTAGGAATCCTGTACATGATTAAATTTAGTTCCAATTTACAAGTAAAATTTTTCATGTTACAAGCTTAAAGCAATTAAAGACATTCAGACTAATGCGACAGTCAATGCTTCCAAAATAACAAGAAATTTGCAGAAAACAAAGATGAAAAAAATGTATGATAAAAAACAAATATCCTGAATTTAGCTTTGTTATTTTCTTTGATTTTGGCCTAAGCATTGACATTACATACCAAATTGAGAAACTATGACATAGTGTTCTCACTAAAGTGGGCGCAGGCTTAGTTTAAATAACAAGAAAGAATTAGGATACCAATGAAAAATGCATCTAAGTATACACAGGTCTCACTAGGGAGTTCTTTGTTGACAGTGTTCACATTTCATGGGTACTCTCATTTATGTTTCTAGATTATTACGGGACAGCCGCAATTCGACCAAACAGGCCATAACGTTATCAGCACCCAATTTTTTGTTTCAATTTAAAGCCATAGACTGATTTTCGTTTTCCATCAAAGACAGATTTCAACGACCTCTGTATGTTCTTAATGACTACATTTAACTAACACTGCCAAACACAGACATTAATTTTTGGGTATTATCTAAAGACTAAAGCCGGATTCCAACGACGATGGCCTGTATTTCTCATGATATTGTACTAAAAGTAGATATAGAAATATTCAATTTAAATGGGCCTATAACACATCACCCAAATGAATAACGAAAATGGACTCATATAGCCAACCCATACGCCGACCTATACAAGGCTTGGTTTGGTTTGATTTAATTATTTTCCAAACCCAAATATTCATCTCTGCATAACAAAAACTCATTACTCGGGACAGATCCAGAATTTGGGTTTAGGGAGACGAATTCTTTCAACAGTTTTTCAGGGGACCATTTAGAAAAATAGAAAAAATCTTATCACGTCAAACTAAGGAATTATTCAAACCAAGAGGCAGCGGTCGCCCCCATCCAGCCCATAGATCCATCCATCATTGGTCATTGCCAGAAGAAATCAGAAAGATAAAAAAGTTAACAATTGCTATAAGCAAGCATGTAAGATGGTTAAGTAAAAACATACCTATCTCCTATAGGCTTGGTGAAAATCTGAAGCAATGTCCCCTGATCATCCCTGTCCACCAAAATCCCCAACTCCTCACACTCCTTAATCTGCTCGTCTGTTAGCACATCCCCAGCCCTGTTCTTCAAATTCCGATAATATGTGGGTGGCGGCGACGGCATAAACTCAAACCCACCAACTCCACTCCTCTTTCTCATCTCCCTCAAAGTCCTAAATATGTCCTCACTCACCAATGCCAAATGCTGCAGTCCTGGACCTTCATTGTGCTCCAAATAAGTCTGAATTTGACTCTTCCTCTTCGTCCCATACACTGGTTCATTCAATGGTAACAAAACCATCTCATCATTACTCGCCAACACCACTGAATTCAATCCACTCTCACTAGTACCCACGTCCTCGGCTGTGAACTCCGCAAACTCATGAAACCCAGTAAACCTTTTGATGTACTCGACCACCGGAGCAAGTGCCGGCACGTTCCCGACGGCATGGTCGAGCCGGCGAATCCCGAAATCCAAGTCTGGGTACGACGACGTTTGGTCAATGGGTTCGAAACCCGGCAAAAACCAAGAACTAGGGTGTTGGTGGTCTGAGTTTGGAAGGTTTGATTGGTCCTTGTAGCTAACGTAACGCAAAACGACGTCGCCATAGAGTTGGACCTCAGCCAACACAACACGGCTATCGAGAAGGATGGGAGGGGAGGAGGGTTTTGCTCCATGGGAAACGCTAACGGAGAAGGCCAAATCGGCGTCTTCGACTTCGACGGCGATTGAACGGACGGCGAGGCCGTGGGAGGCGGCGAAAGAATGAAACACCGAGTGAGAGTAGGTGGGGATGGCGGAGGTGAAGGTGGCGGCGGTGGTGGAGATGGAAATGGAGGGGGAATACGGGGCGGTGAAGAGGAAGTTGAGGTGACCGGAGCGGAGGAGATAAGAGGCGTGGGATTGGTTTCCTGTGGAGAGGTCAGACTTGGCGACGATGGGCATGCCAAGGCCCCAAGAGAAGCGGCGAGAGGTGTTGGTGGCGTCGCCGCACCAGAACTCGACGTGGTGGAAGTTTTTGACTCGGAAGAGATCGGAGCGAGGGTTGGTGCGGACGAAGTTGTTGAAACCAACAAGCTTGAAGGCATGGGTTTGAGTTGGGTTGGTGCTAGTGTTGAGGTCGTTGTTCTCAGTCACCGCTTGTTTTCCCATGGTTATGGTGCTGTGGTCTTCTTGTTCTGCCGTGGAATGAAAGAAGAATAGTGGAGTGTGTGTGTGTGTGTGTGTAACTGTGTATATATTGAGGGTTGCGTTGGGAAGTTTGTTACGTTTTTGTCTTCAATTTGGATTTGATAAGAAGGACAGGGAGGAGTTCATCGCCACGTAAGAATCTTTATCTGATAGTATTTTGAAGTCGAGTTTATCCACGATTTCACCGGCAGGTAATAACAAGAATCTTTATCTCATATTTGGAAGTTAAGTTTAGATTTCATGCTATCAATTTGAAAAATTCACATTCCGCTAGTATCAGTTCCATGTGTTATATTTGTTATTGATGATGTGATTATTATATTTATTATTAATTTAATTATAAATTTTAATAGTTGTTGAGATCCATTACCTATTTAACAATAGTGATTTATCAAATTAAATTTTTAAATTTTCATTATACACGTTTTCAATTTGTATATGAACTTGAAGTATTTTGCATTTTCTCTTGAAGCAATTGTTAACTTAGTGATGTGGTCAGTGGCTCATGTTTAGGCTAGTTCTTAATTTCACCAAATTGGAAAGCTTGGTTTTTAAATTTTTTTGAAATTGCATCCTTCATATCTTGTTTCAGTTTGAATTTTCAATTATGGATTTGAACTTCAGTTACTATTGTGTGTATTGATTAGTTCTTTACCTGAATAAGAACATCTCCGATCCACTCTCTGTTTCCTTTTTCTTAGTTATTTTAACTAACCCAACACAAAAAACCTTTCTACAACTCACTCTCTATTTCCCACTTCGCCAAATGGCTCTCCTAATATAAAGAGTCATTTAGCCTTTCTAAATTATCTCTACCTCTTTCTCTCTCGATATATATGTTGAATTCCCTTTAAATTATTGAAAGATAATAAAAGTTGAGTAAAATAGTTAGCTAAAGTAAAGAGTATGGTTTAAGTGAATTTATAAAAAATGACTAAATAAAATAAAAAATTTAATATTTAAATATATTTTACCTAACTATTTTGGAAAACTAAGTTGAAGATCCTCTAGTGTCATATATTCTACCAATTTTTCAAATAGATAACTATTCTTTATCCTGTGATTGTTCTGGTACTGCAACATAGGGAGATTCCATTTTTTGCTTTGTCTGCCAAGGCACTATGATTTTTTATGCTTTGTTATGGTTGAATAATTTGGTTGTTTCTTTTTGGATTAAAATGATGCCATGAATTTCAATCATTATAACTTACATATTAAATACATTCTCATTGTTCGAAGAAAGCGAAATTACAAGATATTGTCCGTCGTAAGGTAAAGTTTTTAGAGTATATAATGAAAAACTTGTAATTGTAATCTTTTAAATAAAGATAATTTATTTATTAATGTAATAGAACATAATTAGAATGCTAATGTTTATATGGTTAATTTTTCTTCTTCAATTTTAGGTCATCCAAAACAAATAGTACAAATCAGATGGGGCTTATAAAAATTATTTTTTAAATTTTGTTGCAAATATTTCTGGTTATATTTTGTGCAATCCAATGACAAAGTAAATGCTATGGCTGATTTTTTCTTCGAATTTTTTGATTCAAGATTGCATTAATTTTGATGAATCTTATTCATCGTTGAATGTTATAAGAAATGAATCCTTGAATAACAACAGGTTTACTGAAACATTAGGTCACCATTTCTAAATGTAATGACACTTCCAAATGCTACAGGAGATGTTACAATTTCAATCGAATAACAGAAATATTTGTTCGTCAAAACACCCACAATCAAGTTTATTGAATTGAAGGAATTTCCCCAAAAAAAATTAATACCAACATTAATATAAACACTATTGATTTAAGCATTTTTAACAATTGCGATATAAATAAGGATTTTTACATCCAAAAGTATTTCTTAAGCATTTTTTTATTTTGAATATCCAAATAATACTTATTTAATGAAAATATTTTTCTTATAAAACACATTTGATAAACACTTGTTGAAAAAGTAACTTATAAATTTTATAAGCCGCAAACGCAACTTAAGTATACTATTTAAGTGGTAAAACATTTGTGTACTAAATACAACTTGGGCATCAAGTCCTAACAAAAAAAAAAAAAGGTTTGGACAAGTAGCTAAGAGAATCTCCAAGAGGAGTATCTAAAATAGCTACTTAAAATGTATTTAAATATTGTATTATCTACTTTAGCTAACCACTTTTTCAAGCTCACTCCAACAACGCTATCTATTTTAGTTAAATACTTCAATTAACTTTAACTAACTTTCAATAATAAAATTTAAAATACTATTTAATGTCATGTCATCACCATATTGATGACATCACATGCTGACGTGTTATGTCACGTCATCAAAATTTTAAAATTTTAAAATTTTAATTTTTATTAATAACGGTCATATTTACAACGGTCACAAAATTTAAAATTTATATTTTCATATTTACAACGGTATGCTTCCAATCATACTAATCAAGATAAATCAACAAAGGCATGAAGTGAACAATAGCATGGCAACACATAGCATTGGATTCTGATATTAAAATGATTTTCCTTGGCAACACAACGACATAAAATGATTTTCCATGGCAACACATAGCATCCAAGATAAGCAAAAGTATAAGAGGTCCCAATTGAAGTCTAATTTCCAACACTAACAAAACAAGAAAATCAAAAACAATACAGATAATAACAAATATCACAAGCCCAAAAGAAAGAAAAAAAATCCCAAATTTAGCAAGAACAGGTCTTGAACCAGTTTGTTTTGAGCTAATAAACATCAAATCCATGATGAACCGAGAAGGCTCAATTTTGAGCTAATAAACACAATCCCTCCAGCATATGTAATGCTTTTGCAATAAACCGAATCTATAGTATACATCATGATCAAAATATACATACCCAGGCAACACCCATCAGGTTTTTTTAAAAGCAAAATGAATGGCAATTAAACTGAACTACAATTTTGAAACCAGTTTAGTTTTTTGACTAATTCAAACCGAACAAAGATCAATTGCTTAATTGACAGAGCTGAACAAATTCCCCAAATCAAGTAAACTGCCTTTTTCTTTTCATGTTCGTAGACGGAGATCTACCAAAATGAAATAGATCAATGAAGATTAATTCAAACAAATCAAGTCTAGAACATGAAAACAAAAAATCACCACAAATCCTCTCCACCATTGAAGAAGGTATTTTGAATCTTTTTTGTGTTAACAAATCTAAGACAAAAGAACAAAATCAAAAGCCTAACAACATTAGGGAGAATCTAAAATTAAAGAGTTTTACTTACAGGGAAAAAGGGACAGAGATAGCAAGAGGAAGGGTGATGCACAAACGAGATAGCAAAAGGAAGGGTGGGCGGATGACGGAGGCGTGCGTTGGCGATGGAGAGGAGTGGAGGCAAGACAATCAGGATGGTGGGGCCTTCTCGGTAAAGCTGAATGTCGGTGAAGCTTCAGTGATCTTCGGTGGAACCTGCGATGGAGGGCTGTGGAGCTTCAGTGAGAGAGAGAGAGAGAGAGAGAGAGAGAGAGAGAGAGGGCCAGCGAGGGAGAAGGGCTGGCTACATCCAGAGACTGAAAATGTGGTTATCTATTTTAGATAAGGGAGTAGCTAAGTCTCTTGGAGCAACATTTTGGGCAGAAGTTATCTAAAATAGCTAAAGGGGTGAGTTTAGCCAGCCTCTTGGAGATGCTCTAAGATATATGTGCGCAACTTATGAAAAAGAATTTACATGAAGCTTGGAGCAGGTCATATGACCGACCGAAAGTCGTTAAAGTACGCCTTGTTACATTTTGGTCCATTTACATACAAACAAAATATTCGATCACTGGTTGTCCAAGGGACTTGAGTTCCAATATGTTCCGAAGCTCAAATACCATCTTCAAGATGCAAGGGGAGAAGAATTTTGGAAAGTATAATAACGTATATGAGTGAGCAGTTTTGTCTAGGTATGAAGAAGCAACAAGCCAATTGATTCATCACCAGGACTTGGCCAATTTATTACCCAATATACAAACAACAATGTACAATTAAAAATGCATTAAATAATGTTCTCTTCTTCCATGCCACATACTAAATGCAGCCTAATGAACCTTAAAATTCAGTACTAACAGCATATCAAACTTCTCATGCGATAAACAATGATACCCAAGGAAATGTAAATACATTAATTATTCAATTCCACAATCCTCACAATAAAACCGATCTCCACTTCACCCAATAATTAGCTAAAAAACCCCCACCCAAAAGAGAAACCATCTAGCGAGCCATTTTACAATCCAATTAAAATCAAACCCCATTTCACTATCTTATTTCCAGGAAAGTTGAAATTTCAGTAACGATTTGAATTTGCTCCCAACAATATCGACTTCAATTGATTGTGAAGCAATTCCACGAACACTTGGTGTCCTATATGGCGATTTTCAATTTTTTTTGGTTTGAGCTCAAGTGGGTCAAAATGAAACACAAGATCTTTTCCTGTGATGTTTTATGGCTATTAAATGGATTGCCGCAAATTACTCGAGCTCAATTGGAAATTGAAAACCAAAACAACACCAAAATTCAAATCGGACAATTTTCGTGAAGGTGTGTATTTCGTGTGGGTTTGGGTGTCTGTGTGCTATTTGTGTTGTGCGTCTAGATCTGTGGACACGTGTGTGCGAGTCTGTGCTCTGTGTGTGTTGTGTATGTGTATGTGTATTAGGTTGTAGACTACGAAACACGGATACTTCGTTGAGGTTGACGTACTTGTGTCAGATATCGTATCGGATACGATACTCGTCAGATACTCGAGATTACGTATCAGATATACCTTCTACGTATCCGATAATAATTAAATATTATGATACTTTTGTAGTAGAGCAACATATATAATTTTTTAGTTGAACTTTTAACATTTTTCGAATTCACATACTATACAATACTTTAACAAAAATTTCATATTATTTCAAAGGCACATGAGTTTTTTAAGTATTATTTACAATTACATGTCAAAAGAGCATAAAATAAAGCTATTA